GGGAGTCACTGTCCCCAATTAAGGGACAAAGCCATTTGGAGAACTCTTAGCTGCCACCTGACTATACTCTAGAGACAACACATCACAGAGTTCCATGGACAACGTAACCTGATACCCTACTTGGTTACTTTCCTTAAAATGTCACCAAGCTGCGCACAGTGTTGGGGCCGCCCAGGGTCTAAGTGTAGAGGAAACATTCTCTCACCACAGAGGCAAACTTGTGACACGAAGCAAGTGTGCTGTGGCCCTTCCCCACCTCCCATCCACTCATACCTCTCACCCCCTTTCCCTCGACCCCATGTCCCTGGTCTTAAAATAACTCATGGCTCACACTCAAATTAGCATCTTTATCCTCAAAATACACATTTATATTTCATATCAGCAGGCTTTAAAAAACATTTTGCCTGCAGCAGGACAGGGCTACAACTGTACACACTTTCTCAGGAGCTGAACGATTCATCACTGAGCAGACACACCTTCAAAGCAGCCTCTGTAAGCTGGGGACCTGTGCCACCTCTTCTCAAGAGCAGGGCCATGGAAGGCATCCCTCTACGAGGGAGTAGTTATCTTCGTTCCAACCCTCAGGGGGAAATAGCTTGCCCCTGATTCTGTTCTGTTAAGAGGATTTGGGAAGTGGCAGACCTAAGACTGAGTCGGCCATAGTGCTCATTAGCTGTGTGAACTCAGGCAGGTCACTTAACCTTTCTGAGCCCAAGTTCTATATGTGTAACATGGCAGTGATATCATCTATCCATATGGTTGTCCTGAAAAGTTAATTCATCCGGGGACTTCCCTGGTGGTCCAGTAGTTAAGGCTCCGTGTTTCCAATGCAGGGGGCACGGGTTCGATCCCTGGTCGGGGAACTAAGATCCCACATGACACATGGTGTGGCCAAAGAAAAAGCTAATTTATCCATTTTAAATGACAGTGCTTTCCACACTGTGAAGCACTGTCTGATTTTGAACCCAAATTGCAGTCACTGTTCTTGGCCTGTTCAGAGACCAGCTTCGGCAGCATTTCTAGAGGGGTGTCTCGTGTGCGCCTCGGACTGAATCCACGGTCCACGTTGATAGCAATCCATTGCTCCCGCTGCCAGACCTGTGCCTCTCCCCCTCCAGTGGACACAGCATTTTCCTCCCGGTGCCGCCCGGCATCCTGCAGCCCTGCCCATGTCTGTCCCTTTGCTCTGCCAGGCACAGCCCTAGCCCTGGGGACTACACAGCCGTGCAGAGTGGAGAAGGATTATTCCCTTCCCTCGTGGGGTCCCAAGGCAGTGCGGCTTGGTCTCCAGTGTGCGAATATGGAGAAACAGCTATTAGCTATTAATAATATTGTTATTATTACTATTATTATAGTAAAATACACATAGCATAAAAGTTGCCATTTTAACCATCTTAAAGCGTACAATTCAGTGGCATTAAGTACATTCACAATGTTGTCCAACACTCCCCACCATGTAGTTCTAGGACTTTTTCATCACCCCCGCCCAGGAGCCCCATACCCACGGGCAGTTACCCGCCAGCCCCTGGCAACCACGAATCTGCTTTCTGTCTCTGTGGATTCGCCTATTCTGTACATTCCATATAAACGCAACTATCCAAGATGTGGTCTTTGGCATCTGACTTCTTGCCCTTAGCAAGAAGTTCAAGGTTGCCCTTTGTGTTTTTACTTGGTGCTCTTTCCCTCCCTAGGACCAGGCTTGCACCAGGGGACTGGGCTAAGGATGGGCTTGAAAAGCCATTACCATCACGCTCTTTGCAGGATTCCTGGTCACTTGCAGTGATAAAACCCGCCCACTTCCCTCCTCCTTAGCACGGGTCCTCTCCCCTCTGTAAGTGTATTGCTATAAGGCAACTCAGGTCCCAGCCAGGCCCAGAGTTTGTAATCCTTCCCAGCAGACTCTCAAACCCAAGCCTCCAGTTTGCCAACCACGCCCACAGATCCCCGAACCTGGAAAGTCCCAGAAAATGCTGACACTGAGCCCCTGACTACACTGATTATAATAGTCTGATGTTGTACTATGCGTTAACAAAGGTGAGTGAGCGTGTTGCTAAGAATCACGCTTCCTTTAGCATTTGAGTCCTATTCGGCTTTCTGTGAATCCCGAGGTGTTTCAGTACCTTGCAAAGTACAAGAAACGTTTGTATTTCTCCAGCGTCATTCACAGCCTTGCCCTTCATGGGCAGGTAGAGAGAATGAGTTTCCTTTCCGTTTCTCTGCCTTGGAAGTAATTGTATGTAAAGCCCATCCCGTATAGTTCTGATACCTCTGTGGTGGAGCTTTATTTATGTGCCTGGTTTCCTGAGAACACCTTTAACAAAGATCCCAAAGAAGAAAATGTTTTTCCTAAATTAGTTGATATATAGAAACTGAACAAATGGAGACATGCAAGCTTCTTGACTTCTCCTTTGTGATATTAAATTATTTATTTGAGAAGTTCCGATCCACTCTAGGAAATTCCAAGTTCGATAGAAAATTGTTTTGTGTTTCTTTTTCAAGATTGTAAGTTTTTAAAATTTCAAACATCCTAATGAAAACTTCTGTGCCTCTCTTTTAGTTCTTTCATGCCTACTGTTAATGTAGTTAAATTTTATATTAAACATTGGCCCATGGAGTGTATAGTAACCAGACATAGAGGAAATAATCATAAAAGGACATAAATACCAGGGAAGAAAGTAAAGTCTTAAATCTTCTGTGAAATAGGGTCAAAGCTTTACCCCCAACAATCATCATTTTATCTGCAAACATACTCTGTAGTTCAAATATGTCCTTGAACCTTCCTAACTTGTATCTGTATCTCAGTATGCTTTATACAATGAGCAATTTAGAGGCTCCATATTTTAGTATTTTTTTGCTTTTGTTTTCATATTATCACGTAGGTGCCTTTGGCATTTTTTAGACCAGAGTGGCATTCTTGTACAGCCCCCTCACGCTTTTCTTTGCATCCAGTACATACCTGAACATATTTTGTTGTCCATCATTTCTTGCTTGCAAATGTCAAATTAGTTCATGTAACTCAAAGAGGTTTAGTTTAGGTTAATGCCTTTCCAGGCAAGATGCAGGTTATGGGAAAGACATAGCCAAGCGATGTGAACTCACCAACATCAAGAAACGAAGACATATTTGGGAGCACGTCTCATTAGTAGGTTAGGCTCTGCTGCACCTACCCGTCTGCCAATGTCCATCTGCCAATATTCCCCAGTCTTTCCTGTTTTCAAATGCTGATTTAGATAAATGCTTTTCTAACCAAAATGGAACAGTATGGTATTTAAGTCAACCATGAAAATAAGCACTGACATACGTGCCCCCCACCTGAAAGAAATCAGGACAGGTTTGATTTGAATCAGGCAGGAGGCCAGATGCAATCAGGTTCCCAAAGTCTATAACTCCACCAAAAGGAGAGCTCAGGCCCCACTCCCCCAGGACCCTCCCTCCAGATTGCAGAAGATCCTGGGGGGTCAGAATTGAGCTGGGTTCCCAGCTGTTCAATAAAATGTGATTTTGTACAATAGGAGCAGGGAGAGGGGAAAATGCAAAGCCAGATCATTCTCTTTAAAGTTCCGATAAATGGGATGCTAACTGGGTATTATTTTTTTTAATATGGACTTTATTTCTTAAAGCAGTTTTAGGTTTGCAGCACAATTGAGCAGAAAGTTCAGAGTCCCCATTGACCGGGTATTTTCCAGCCCTGTCTCTCACAAGCCATCTCAACCTGTAGAGTCCCAGAGCACTCTGGATTTAAATGAAAGGCAGGATGCACACTGGGCTGAGTGTTTGAACAGACCTAGAGTAACTCACTGACCCAGTGAGGACTTGCCATCCCCACTGGTCCAACATGGAAGCTCTACATGGACCTGAGAGCACAGAATTGGTATTTGCTGCTCCTGGGAAAGGTCAAGCTCTCATTTCATCAATACAGCTATGCCTTGCTTTAAACAAACCTGATTATATATTTAAAATCTGACTTATACCAGTGGTGAATTGAGAGTGATCCATCTTCCCACCACTTTCAAAGACAGGCTCCCACCTCTCTCAGGTCTAAAATCAACAAAACGGCCCAAAGTTTCTGTTCCAGGCAGTCCATTCTCCACACTGTCCTTCAGAAACATCACCTAAGCCATACTGTCATCTGAGTGCCTCTCCAGCCTGGAATATCCTCTCCTCCTTCCTTCTGGGTATAGAATTCACTCTCTTGAGCCCTCTCGGTCCTCAGGAACACTGCCTTGGCCTCTCTAGCCCACAGAGAAACCCCTCTCCTCATTTTCCTGGACCTTTTGGTTAGTTTCCACACTGTTGACCATTTAGGCAATTAACTGAGATGTATCAAGCATCTCAGTTAATTAGCAGGACTGTAACAGGCACCCCAAACCTGATTATTTCTTACAAGTTAATCTTATATCCACAAATATACTATAAACTCCTTAAAGTCAGGACTATATCTCCCTGTTAAATCCTACGTACTACCAGACACAGCATTAGTGCGTAGCAGGTGTTTTCATTTCACAAAATGATTCTTAATTTTACAAAAATAGTCCCTGGTTGACTTCCTTACAGAGAAACTTCTTCAGATGTGCTCAACATAAGGTTCAAAATACATATATTTTTTAAGAACGTCTTTGTTGTATGAAGTCAGTTGTATGATATGTCACTTTACAGAACCACTAGATTTTTTTTTTTTAATGGGGACTAGTTTAATGTTGCAAACAGGAGTGACTACTTTTGGGAATCTTGACTAATTCTAAGTAGGGCAGGAACAGGATAGCATTGCAGCCAAGGCCTGTGGGTTCAACATTGGTCCTTATATTTAGTTGTAGGCTTATTAGAAAGCTTTTAGGCTGATATTCAGGCAAAGAAAAAAGTGAACTTGTAGCAGTCTTTTCTCTAGATCATTCTTTGGCCGAACTGTTTTTCTGCTGCAGAAATTGTTCAGGGCTAGATGGGCACATGGGAACAAATATAGTGAGCTCGGTGTTAAGACAACTTATCCCACCAACGCTTACTTTTCACAGAACAAGGAAAAATCTGGAAAGATGACTTCATCCTCTCGGTTCCTGGCTTGTCCTTGAGGTGCCAGTGTGACCAGTCACCACAGTGCACAGTCGCTGACTATAACCCTTCCGGTGTGGGGCTGTGTCTCTCTGATGAGCAGGCAAAAAGTTCAGACTCAAGCTTTTGATTCTGCAAAACTAAGAAGCATGTACTATCTTTAAATTTTTTTTAAAAACGGTAGAAACTTGAAACTCAATGTCTAAGCACATTGGCGGAGGTCTGAAGCAGCGAGTAGAAATGACACCATTAGTGGTATCGATGATGAAAAGGAGATTACGAACACTTTAGCTTTCTGTTCTTAACTCCATTTGAGCGTTTGCCAAAAGAATTAAATGGGTTGAACTTTAAAAATCGAAATCAGATCTTGAAAGTCTAAGTGTATTTCCCAAGCAGCGTGGAAAGGAAGAGAGGGAGAAAGTACTTAAAAATTACCTCTGTTCCTAGTACACCCGCTTGGTTTGCTCCGTCCTGATGGGTTACACTCTGGTCCTCCCTAAATTTTAAAATTTCCCTGAGAAGTGACTCTTGTTCTCGCAGTGCACCGCAACCCTCTGAAATACCACGGAGTTTCAGGGCATGAGGGTAAACTTTTTCTTAGGGGGAGCCGTCTCGGCTCGCGGGGTGCCGGCTGTCAAAGGCACAGCACGCGGTTTGGTCGTGTACGTTTCAGCTCCACGTTGTTTGTTTCAGCTCCACGTTCCTTCTGTCTCCTCGCAGCTACCTCATCCCTCAACTCCCAACTGCAGCAGCTCCAGCAGCTGCAGCAGCTCCAGCAGCCGCCGCCGCCGCCGCCGCCGCCCGCCCCGCCGGGCAGCCAGCACCCGCAGGTGCCACCGCAGTCCCAGCCGCCGCCGCCGCCCGCCTCCCAGCCGCCGCCGGCTCCTCCCGCCCACCCTCACCCCCAGAACCGGAACCAACCGTCTCCAACTCAGCAGAGCTCCAGCTCCCCTCAGAAAGCCAGCCAGTCTCCGGGACACGGCCTCCCGTCGCCGCTCACGCCACCCAATCCTCTGCAGGTACGCGCCCCGCCCAGGGCCCAGGGGACCGGGCCGCCGGGTGGCGCCCTCCCCGGAGGCAGAGGGCAGGCCAAACTTAGCATCCACTTCCGCAGCGTCTAATTCAAATTGATCTCTTAGAAGGAGGGAAGAGGGAGCAGATAGCGGGCAACTGGGGATGCATGTAAACGAAACAAATAGTAGCCCATTGACGTTGCCCTCCGAAGGATAAATGTTATCTGTTTCCTCCTGTGAGAGGCCAGCACAGTAAGTGCGCTTGTAGCCTGTAATAACTCCACTTTATGATACTTTCTGAAGGCAGCAAAGATAGCATCCAATTAAAATTATTACTAGCAGAGCTTTGTAGCCCCGTGGAGAGCTGCATCTCCTGTCCATGAGGCATGGTGGTTATTTCTCTATATTATGAATACAGCAGTGTCTTACCTTAAGTACTTGGTGCTCTTTTGTTTCTATTTTTCCAAAGACTCTCTGGGGTTAGGAAGGTAAAGAAATTTAGCCCCGGTCTTATGTCCCAGATTCCAACCATTACTCCATGGATTAACAAGTACTCTAAATTCATGCCGAGACCCTCCACAAATATGCATCTTTATAAAATAATAAAGCTTCCGTCCATTTACTCTATTGCTGTGAAGCTGAGGGCATCCAAAATAGAATTTGAGGCTAATAGTGAAGGCTCATCTTTAATCTACTGTCATCGAGGAGCAATGAACAGGAGCATTCAGGAATATATAATTCTAACATTCAGAAACTCATTTTTAACTTAGATGCCTTTAAAATAAATGAGCTTTAAAAGATAATGACTCTGATGTCAAAAGATCAGATCCAGACATTAATAGCTCAGTTTTAGACTTAAAAAACGTAATGATGTTTTCTTCCAGGAAGATTTCAGATGATTTAGTACATTTGTAGTGCAGTGACACATTCCCACAGAGTGGAAAGCCTATGCACTCATTTCAAAGGCCAACTCACCTCCCTCCTGGATGGTGGGTGCTCACACTGCAGTCAGTCCAGCCCTGCCCCACCTGAGGACAAGAGTGATGTTATCCTTTGGTCCGAAACAGCAAAGTATGCAGAATCAAGATAAATTGGCCTGCAGGTAGAAAGGCCAGTGGATTAGAGACTTAGTGTTTTAGAACCGATTTAATTTGTTGTCCTGTAACTTTGTTTCTGTGTGTTTGGCTTCTCAGTGGTGGCCCAAATTTTCCTGGAAATGGAAACATTCGGGTGTGATGAGTAATTGTCTTCCTTGGCGCTTGGGTCATGGCTACTTGCAGTTTGAGCATTTTCTCCAGTTGGGCTTGAAGGTGTATTTTTTAAAATCTTACAAGTATGAGACAACACAATACCTTTGACATAAGACTGAAATGAACACAGGCTAAAAAACTCTTGCTTGTACACTTGACATCTATGGGGAGAGTAGGTCTAATCAAATTTACCAGATGCATGATGAGAGCAATCCTAATGTTTTCAGCATTTGGAATTCAACTCTGATTATTCCCAAGAATGAGTTTAATGCTTTTTTAAGAGCAGTTAAATTAGATCTATCTCAACACCCTGTGATTAAACATTTCCTCTACACGAGCCATCAAAATACGTGAAATTACCAAAGAAAACACGTGTCCTTCTCTGAGGGATGAGACTACTTAGTCCTGCCCCTAGTTGGCCTACTTAGTCCATTATTCTGTAGAGTGCAGTGAAAGCTTTGAGTTCTGTGGACATCAGCCTTCTCAGAACACAGTCAACACCTTACAAATCTCTATTGGCCAGTAAAAGGCAAGTGTAGACTACCCATTTGAATAGCTGTTGACAGGACATTAGATGAGAGGACCGCTCAGCCTCATGAAAAACAAATGCTACGAGGAGAATTTCCCAAAGTTCTCCTAATAGTTTCCCATGGAAATCTGGGAGCTGTTTCGTTTTCTGTTTTTGCAAGAAAAGAAGCCTCAGAATCACATTTATTTCTGTATAACCCTGAGAGAATATTCTAATTTTTCACTGTTGGAGTTTTAACTTACAAACTTACTAAGTATATTGATGAGATAATATTCTTCTGTGGGTCTAATGAATGACCACTGAATGGGTGATGTGGTGAAACTTTAAAAAATATTACTGAGTAGATAGAGAACTAATTTTGAATAAGTCTACATCAGTAGGCATAAAAGGATTTTTTTTTTCCTTTCACGATAGGCATGTGTAAAGGAAATTGAGAATGCCATGGTTTTGAAATATCAGTTTTTCTCTACACTAGCTGAAGGGTTTTTGAATTTGTGGAACATGGAATGTTTGAACTTTTGAAAAAGAAAACTATTTAAAAGGAACTAAAAGATATTTAACTCTCAAAGGCAACGATCTTTATGAACTAGAATAAAGTGTTTGTGTTTGAAGGTTTTTAAGAGACTAATGATCAACTAAATTCATATATGACAGCTTAAATTCTACTTTACAGTTCTTTATTTTCATATGGGCCTTGTCTTTTTACGTTATTCAAAATCTGTCTGAGACACGTTAGTTTAGAACATGCAACCTAGATTGTCAGAGGAAGCCAATAATTCAGAAGGATTTTGTTTAAAAAAAACCCCACAAAACTTTGAAGGATAATAATCATTTCTCAAACTGTACAGATGCTGTCATATCTTCAGAAAAAATAATAAATGAAAGTAGCTTGTATAGGTATATTTGGTGAGGTTATTCCTCAAGATGAAAAAAAAAATTAATAGTGCTGGCAGGTAGTAAGACTCTAGACTAAAATTCCCCAAATACTTCTGGTCAGGTTTTTGTCTAATACTGCAATAAAATTTGTTTCACTCTTTTACTCAAGTCCATAAAATGGATTGCATTTCCAAAACCAGGTTGTTGTTTCAAGACGGATATGAGTCTAAAGTATTATCACTTCAGAGAACTAATTTTGATTGCTCAGGGTTATGGGAGGGCTGGTGGTCCAGCATGGATACCAGAAGCTGGCCCCTGGAAGCCTGTCTTTAAACTCTTCACGGAGAATCAAGGCCCACTCACCCACAACTTCATTCTCAGGAGGGATAAGTTCTAAACAGGGATTATAAGTGCAAACGTCTTCAGGGGCCAGGCAGTCCATATAAATAAGTAAAGCAGACTTAAGTATAAAACCCAAAATAAAAATTTGAAAACAGTGTGTGGGACAAACAAAATGCATCTGTGAGTTGAATTTAACCATTAGGTTCCAGGATGGATATCAATCCATACTCCTTATTTTTGTACAACCCACCTGCCACAGGCTGCATCAGAATCTAAAACCAGAAATATAGAGTGTGTTGGGTAGAAGCAGATCAGAAACATAAGTGGAAGCAACTTCCTTTTTTTTTTTTAACATCTTTATTGGAGTACAATTGCTTTACAGTGGTGTGTTAGTTTCTGCTTTATAACAAAGTGAATCAGTTATACATATACATATGTCCCCATATCTCTCCCCTCTTGCGTCTCCCTCCCTCCCACCCCTCTAGGTGGTCACAAAGCACCGAGCTGATCTCCCTGTGGAAGCAACTTCTTGAGGGGAAAGATACGGTCTAATCATTCCTGGGTAGAAAAAACAATACACAGCTTTAATTTCAATATATGATATTGATATGGATAAAGACCCCATAAGCCTAAGAATGGTGAAATACCTCCTTCCTATGACCTCTGAGATGGCTTTTCTTGAGACTTTTCCTTGGGAGTTTTTAACTTGTACTAAGGAAATTCCAAACATTGTGTGGAAGGCCTGGCATTTTCCTTCACGAGTGATCTGGAAATGAGCTGGACATAGTTGGAACCTAGTCATGGTGCCATGCGAAAGGGAGCTTGTTCTAATTCTGACCCCGCTTCCAACTAACTCACAAATGGAACAAGTTCTTTGGACTTCATTTTCCTCATCTGTTAAATGTGTGCTGAATATGATTTTTAAGATCCTTTTCAGGTCCTTGAGTCTATGATCTAAGTGTTGGTAGGCCTCTAGAATTTTCTTGGATACTGAAAACCCAATGGTCCTGAAGATTCTCTGAGTATTCTTCAAGGTCAGGTTAATTTCTTCCCACTCGCTGGGTGGCAGAGTAGAAAGAAAGTAAGGACAAACATAAGTGGGGTAATGATAGCAGAAGCAGATTTTATCTTAGCCAGAGAGTCCAAATTAAAGTCCAGTTTTCATCCTCAGAGAGTCACCGCTGTAAACTCTGGTCCCTGGTTGCTTTTTCATACCTATACATTAGAGAAGCTTAAGAAACCAAATGCTGCGTTGAACCTTGGCCTTCTGCATACCGTCTTGCATGGCAGGAAGCAGGATCATCTTTTCCTTTTCTTGTTGTATTGCACATTTTAATAAAAAAAAAAAAAAACAGAGGGAGAGAGAGACAAATGGAAGCAGTTAGGGGGGAGAAAGCTATCTGTGCTTATATGAGGAATGAGGAGTACGGTCAGCTCCTCGGGGTGAAGTTGCTCGAGAGAGCGTAAAATTGTTCCCGACCACGTGCATTTGCTAATGTAAAGGTCTTGTTACCACTCAGGCATCCAGGAGTAAAACTGCATTCAGATTCCACGTCTGCAATGCAGCAACTCAGCCTCCTGATCTTCTCGTGTGGGATGTTTCCCCCTCCCCCAGCAAACTTTCAGTACTACTTTCCAGAGTGATGGAGAGGGTGGTATATTATCACTTTTTCAAACAAAGAGCCCAAGCCCTCAAGAAGGAGTTAGACCTACATGATTTCCATCCTTTTAAAGCAAATGGTCTCCAAGCATGTCTCCTTCCTATAGAAAAGGCCCAGTGCCTGGGGCCAACCCCCTCTCTCCCCAGCAGTTAGTCTTAATTTAACACAATATTAGTCAAAGCTTGGTGGGTCTAAGTTTTTTTTCATCTATAAATAGAGGAGGTAAAATTAAATACTTTCTGGAACTCTTTCCCTTTTATTTGGAGTTTTATGTTACAAACCTCTAAAACTCACTTGAGTGACCTATGCAGGTACAGGGGAGAAAAAACTCTTTTTTTCCTCTATTCATCCTAGGTTCTCAAGCTAGGGGCCTGTAAAGTAGACTAACAAGGGACAGATTAAGAAGA